TAATTATCTTGAAGTGAACAGCAATAAAATTTGAGCAGTATAACATAAATACATTTTACTTCATTACATTCTGATCAGCTGATTATAACCTATAATATTTTAAAATCAGAACTATCGTAAAGTTAACATAACTTATAAAGTGTAAATTAGTTAAATGTGATGAATATGTAGCATCATGGTGTGGTTGCGATTCGTATAAATGTAAAAAGACCTAAGATTTTGTGGAATATGATCTTGTAAACAAATACAAACCCTACTTTCTGTTCTACCAATTTTAGTGTTTTGGGAGATACATGTAAATTTATATACGCAGTTGGAGGTAACATGAAAGGGTCACCGATGGATCTTTAATTCCTGTAAACGACATTTTGTTTTGTCCAAGATCAGCTTGGATGGAGGATATGTTATGGACAATGTGGTTTTTAATCTTCTGTTTATTATCACTGCAACTTCGTCACCTTTGAATTTAAGTTAAATAAAAATAGGATTTTTTGTCTTTTGTGGTTTCTTTAGTCATTTTGTTTTCAATTTTCCATAGTTATTAATAAACTTCTGTGGATACCTATTTTTCCTCATACATTTTTTTAAGGTCGACTAGTTCTGCTTCCAATTTATTGACAGTACATATCATTTCAGTTCTGTCAAATAACGTTTTATTAAGTGGCATCTTGTAGTTATTTAGACAAAGCCGTTAAAATTTGAACAAACACCATTCCATATATCTTTTTGATAAACTAAGCGTTGGATTGTACCATCCTCAATCCATTATATGGCTATATCGAGAAAGTTGAAATTCTTATTATTTTGATTTCTTATTGTCAACTGGATATTTTTATGATCGTCTATGAAAAGGTTTATTGTTGATCATTACATATAATCTGCATGGGGTGCTTATATGACAAATTTCAGTCAAAATATCAACAACCGGATGATCCAATCCATTTCGAATTGAATTATAACATCGATTTTTTGAAATCTATCCCAAAAATGACAAAGTTTAATCCAAAAACTAAAAAAAACAAAGTGTCGTGACTTAATTGCCTAAATAATTTAAAGTCTCAGTAATGAGGTAAACAATAAAACAACATACATAACAAGTTTATGAAAATTCTCATATCGACATTTGCTAAATAAAGAAGGAACGAATCGAGCAAGTTTATGAAATCATAATTATCCTTTTCTGATCGACAAACATAAACTGAGTTAAAAGTAATAAAATTTTCCCTGAAAGCTATTTAAAAACAACAGTTTTCTAGTTTTACTTATATAACCAAAAGATGTTGAATGCCGAAATAAGTTGCGGTAAATATTAATCTTTTATAGTTAAGTTCTAGTAGATACGATGTCATAACAACACGATTTAGTCATCATTGAAATATTTGTTGTTTGAAGTAAGTAGAATTGTAACTAAGTTGCTTTCATTTCCTTAAATATAGGACCCCTGTTTCATCCTTTTTCAGACTAGCCAGTTGTATTTGTTATTCAGTGAACCCTGTTGTTTCATCTTATGCCTGAACCCAGCATTTATTGCATCAAATTAAAATTACATGATAAAAATAAACATTTTACATTGTAGTTGAGTCTTATAAGTAAGTATTTGCAACCACACAATATAGTATACGCGATTAAAAGTGGTTATTCCATTGAACAGAATACTTTGACTACCCTACTGATACACTTACTCCTATTCATTGGGCTAATTTTGTACTGACTATGTAATAAGCAAACCCAGTTTAAGGATATTTTTACTGCCGTAACGAAAGTTTATACCTTAAACACACGAAAAACTATTATTTCCACAGGACTTCAATCCCATAAACAAATTTTAACAAGCCCACTTTTAAATTTTATAGTTAACATAACGGAATTTTCATAGTAAAACAAATATTGAAAACCAGTGAGCGGTGGAAATTTTTTTCATCCAAGTTTGAGGCTCATCAGCATTGCTCATCCGTGTTCCTAACGGATATCAAACTCCAGAACCTTTAGGTCGCTTGGCAAGCGCTCAAATGTTAGACCACAAAACTAACATTCAATGGTTTAATTGCTTAACTTCAATTAACTTGCGATATCGTACAAATTTATTTTAATGTCATTAGTGTATAATTACATCACACTCAACATGGTCGGATTCCACTGGTTGTGGATTCTCATCAAAAGACTTTTAAGCATTGACTATTTTGGTTAATCCCCGATTAATGATAAGTTTCACTCAAGTGTTCTTATATATATATTATCCAGATGACTGCATACGTACCCACTGTAAATCATCTACGATGAAAATAGGCTGTTAGATCAATTCTCTCTTAATCAGCATCACAAAACGATTACCTAACTGAGATTAGTGGTATTTTATTGACTTAAATATGAATGCTAAGCTTTTTAAGTATTATTTACATAAGAATTAATTCTTAAAAAGCGAGAGGTTGAAATTATTCTTAAACATCACTTGTACAATTATTTACGTGTAGTCATACCAGTCATCATTTAGTATGAAACAATTAAAAGAAGTACATTTTTAATTCATTTACATAATGTTATTGATAATAAAAGCATGAATAAGAATGAGAAAACCTATGAATGATCCGGTTGATTTGACAAAACTTAGCTAACTAACACAGAGATAGAAGGTCTCAAACTGTACACTAAAATACAATGCGCATATATAACTCCCGAAATTGTTCCTGTTCTAAAGCCTAGTCACGGACAATAAGGGGATACAAATATTTGAATAATCCAAAAGGACCAATGAAAGTCTATTCGTTTACTGTACATCACTGAAGGAAATCTATCACAAAACAAACTAATGTGATATATCAGTATGGAGCTCTCGAGATTGTTTAATTCTATTGAGATCACGAAACGATCTAAGCTAAACAACCACTGAAACCTAAAACGCACTAGGTGGTCGTTTCTTATTGGTATGGGACTCTTCAATGGGGTGGCATCCACATCCCAGTCACTAGAGACCGAACTCAAAATCGGTCTCGCGAGTGGACACTTAAATTCTAGAACACTGAACTAGGATTCATTTATGCACAATATGAATTATGCTTGATATAACCTTCATCACTGGCTGATGATCAGTTGGAAAATGATCGAAATTAGGGAAGCATTATTCGATAACAGTGTCATCGTAGTTTGAGTTCTTATCAATGTGAGAACTTATGTACATACGCAGAATCGAACCGAAGACCTTTAGATGTCATAATTAACACATCTTTAAACAAATGAGTTGGAACTTTATGTTTCATAATTTAGTTTTTAATTAATCAGTAGTTCAGAATCACTCAAGTTCGGTGTTACAAACGAGCTACCCTCCCGATTCCGACTTGACAGACATTAAAGTTTAGGCCGTAAGTAAATCCATTTTGAAGTCATTTATTAGTAAATATATGATTCATATCAATATCGACGGTTTCATCTGAAACTTCGATATAATTTGAAGGTGCTTAAAATATTATTTTTAGTTACTGCATACTAGGATTTTTAAACACTATACAAAATGGTCACTAATTTTTTGTAACAAGAATCATGTTACTGATAACCTCAACCAAATCCATCAGTAGTACATGACTGAATCGTAAATAGCTAGTATTCAGAATTTATCAGCCTAATTTAACTCTGTTGTTATCTTAAAAAAGATACGTTTCTTCCTTTTGTTTGTTAATCTCTTGATCGGTCTGTTAATTACAGCCGATGCATCGAGTTCGTTCATTAACTAATTATTATCTATAGATGAAAGTAAAATATGATTGGACGTTGAACATGAACAAACAGGCAGTTAGCTTACTGACTATTAAAGATCTAATTTCCTTTCTTGTTATTGATTTCTATTCCGGACACACTGAGAGTGTCTGCTTGTAACTGTGTTGAACAAAGTATTATCCAGTGTTAATCCGGTTTTCTATTCTGGATCGTGAATCCTAGATCTAATATAACATGACGGTGAGACTATAATATATGGACGACCTTGGAGTGACTCTAAGGTGACCTATAGAGTGTCTACCTAATAACTAGGACCAAATGAGCGTTATAAACCAGTGTGAGGAATTAGAATTATGATTTACATTTGATGGTTAAAATTAGGAATTAGATTTAGGGTTTTCATCACTAACTGAGGTTGACACAAATTACACGGCGGTTATGATTCAACATGAATGACTAACTCATAAGTGGCACAGAATCGGATCAATAAGGGAATAATTAATCCGTGCTAATCCCGGAAGTATAAAGTATATAGCAACAGTTTGTGCGTCAGACATGAGTTTAAAATTAGGTTAAAATAAAAATACAATCCCATTACTTAATAATTATGAAATAAAAATACAAATAATGATTTCCCATAGGATTTCAATATCAATGTTTGACTAGATAGCTCCAAATAAATTGAGCATTGGATAGAAGGATAATAATAAATAGTTTTTATTGGTGATATCCCAATTAGTAAACATTTGTGCTTCTGACGTTTTGTGAATGCTATTTAGAGTTGTGTTAGTTTTGTTTCAGCTATTTACTTATTTACCCAGATGAAGTGACTTACATTAAGTCACGAAACGTTAGAAATACAATTTTCTACTCATTAGGATATCACAAAAGGTACATTTAATTATTATATCTCTAGGATGGATCTGAATATTCAATTTAAAATCATCTTCGAAATAAAAAAACATTATCTTAAATAATTAACAGCATCTACTTTTTGATAGAAGCAAAATTGTATCTAGACGATAGGGATTCGAACTTGGACCAATAAATTATGAGTTTGAACCCGCTTCAAACTGAAAAACTTTGACTTATAACCTTGTACATATATTTGTATACCTGTTTTATATATTTAAATATGAGGAAAGTCCCTATTTTTGATTAACTTGTCATCTAATATACAAATGAACAAATACATTGAAAAAGAAACATCTTTTATAAACACTAACTTATTTATTTTACAATCCTTTCCTTATAACTAATTGGTCAACTAATAAACTATTATTGATTTATAGGCTATGAATTTATTAAATAACTTGGGAAAATGTAAATATGAAAGAAGTCATCCTTATCTTGCTCATCATGAGCAGCATCAACCTATCGATGTTCAAAATGAAAATAATAAAATGACATCAAGTCCTTTAGAAAAGTGGATTTGGGAAAATGGATGTAAAACTTTACAAAATTTTAATCTTAAATCTGATATTCTCAGTTTTAAATCATCATCAATTCATTCAAAATGTCCAACACTTGAACTTGATTTAAATTTGGCTAAACATTTAACAGAAGTTGATTTACTTTCTCAAGTAAGTACATTTATAGTATTGTGAATAAGATATTCATTTGTATATATTTTATAAGTTATGATATCAAGACTATAATTTATGGACGAACTAACCAGGTATAAGATAACAGATTTTAGATTTTGACGCAAAATTCACTCAACCATTTGGCTAAATAGAGTATTGGCATTATAATTGATGTCAATTCGTGATGAAAACCCTAAATCTAATTCTCAACCTTAACCATCAACTGTAAATCATAATTCGAATTCCTCACACTAATTTCTAACTCTCATTTGGTCCTAGTTATCAGGTGGACACTCTCAAGGTCAGTGTAACGTTGCTTAATGGTCATCCATAAATTATAGTTTCACCGTTATGATTTCCTTAAAATTTATGTTCATATTTGCTAACTTTTTTGTATTCTTTAATTATTGAATAAGTATTTTTACAAAGTAAGTTACATGTTCCTTTCGATGTAGTGGATACTAATTCATTATTCTAAAGATAATGAGTTTGACATGAGATTTGGAGGTCCTTTTTTCGAACCCTGATAAAAACATTTACGTAATCTATGATGATACGACTGTTCAGTGCTCAATAGTCTTCAAATTTTTCTACTGGTTGTAACTGATGTATGCTGAAAATCAACTCGAAAAGGGTTTTTTTTTTAAATTAGGAGTGATGTTGCAACTGATCCCATTATCAAACAAATTCTTTGTCATATCTGTAAACAAATTACTTCCCCATTTCATTAAGCGTAGACTTGGTAGTTTAAATTTTAGGGTATGATATCCGTTCGGTTTGGGAACAGGATGAATGCTAGTCCGCATGCACTAAATGCATAACTCGGAGATGAGGACTGAAACTTCTGTGTAAATGAGTTTCTATACATTTAGTATTCTGTAGGTTGCCAAATTTATCTCCAGATTGTTATGCCGAATGATCGCTCGAAGTTGATGCTGATTTGCACGCTTCCTATAGGCGAAACCAGTCTAATAATTAGGTGCGGAGACTAAGGTTGAATGAATATCTGTATTGCCAAATCAAGTATAAATACACATACAAACTCATTGGCTTATATATATCACACATATAGTTGAGGCAAATTTCGACCAATACAGTTCATCCATCAACATATCTCACCTATTATTGGCTTTACTCCAACGTGTGCACGTAGGCATATGATGTTTCTGGATTGCCCCATTCTATGACATATCTTTGAATTACATGGCTTCATTCAATAGGATTTTTTCTACTAACTTATATGAGTGGTTCTCAACATGACAGTAATATATTCTAATTTCGACAGTGTTAAGATTTCTGCGCTAAGTGATTAAATTGAGGAGCTTCATCTTCGTTCCAGAACGCATTATACGCTCATGAATTACTTAGGCGCTTAAGAAAATGAGCTATAGATCTCCTTCATTTAATTCCACTTGTTACTAAATGAATTAATGAACCCATTACTAACTCTCAGTCATTGATTTTAGCTAAGGTACAACGTGATACTGATTTTCATCAAGCATATTAGTGAATAGTTCTTTGAGAAGAGTTCTACAATCATTCTAGATACTTATATTTTACATTGAAATTGTTTCAAATAGTAACGTTGCCTTTCATCATAGATAATGACAAATTTAAAGTAGTCCATGAAACCAATGGCCTTTCTCTTAACCATCTACCTTTTTCAAATTTAATGTAAGATGATGGAACAATGTATCATTTCTATTAACATCGTTTTTTTTTCTCCACCCCGTTTTTTCTCTTTCTCTCTCTCTCTTCTTTTATATAAACACCAAACAATCCTATTCTAGGCAAATGTATTACAACAAATGATACATGTATATTCATATGAAATGTTAACAAATCAATTAGCACAAAATTTATTACGTATACATGGAATATGGTTTGAATTATACTCAGGTAGAGTATTAATATATAGTCGTTTAAATAAAGCATTTCTACCTATTACTGAAGAGACAATTACTTCATTACTTCATGAATTATAATGTAATTTCTTTATACAATCAATTTATTTTTTATTTATTTCATTATGATTGCTTCTTTATTCTTTCTTGTCTATCTCTTAAGAGATTTTTATACGATTGTATTTATCAAGATACCTCTTTGTTGTTGTTGTTGTTGTTGTTGAAAGATTAAGTCATTTTTCCATTCATCAAATATTTTGTTTTTCTAATTATTATTCATTTGGATGTATGTATATTTTCAACTTGGCATAGAATATCATTTTCAAAGATACTTATGGTAAATCTAGTCTATTATTTCTAAATGTATATCGAAATTTTGAAATATAACCAATGGTGATGAATCAGCTGACTCAGGGTCTAGAATATTTTATTGATATATTTTTATTTTATTTTTTTGGAACAATCTTCATGATTGAATGAAATTGAATCTCTATGTGAAGTGGTGATATTTAGATCATACAAATGGATATGACAACAAACTATTAGAAATAATGCATTTCAGGTCATCACTCCGTTTTAAGAAAATTTATTTTCCCTATTTGAATTGATTAAATGGAACTTTAAATGTTTATCTTCAATTCAATTATTCCAATTAGTGTTTTTTTAATTAATGAATAATGTTTTATTGAAAGACTATTTAAAACACAATTATATGAATGAAGTATATGCTTTTCAATCATTTCTCATCAAGTTCTACAATGATCTCATATCCAAATTAATAAACCATAAAATCAGCTAGATTTAAAGCAGAGTACATCATTTGGAAATTGTAATATATGAATCAAGGATTGTTTATCAAATTAATTCGTCAATATTAGAGTTGACTTATATGAAGTGTTAACTTGAATCAGTTTATAAGTGAAATGAAATTGATGTTAGATCACCAGGTTTTCAATGATGATCTCAAGCAAAAATTTAATCCTCTCCACAATCCTATACTGATATACAAGATAAATAATGATCAGAATAAATATGGTGAGCATGGGGTGGGAGAGAGAGAGAATAATGTAATTACAAATCAGGAATTACATAATATGTAGAATAATATGAATTAGGTCAGATACAGTAGGTAGGGGGTGGATACTGAATAAAGTTCTTAAAAAGGTTATCAAGTGTAATAATAATAATGAGTAATTAGGTGATTTTTCAAATTCTTATGTGATAGAGTCTTTTTTTTTCTTAGTTTTCTTCAAAATAAAAAAATTCTAACAGCGTAATAGATTCTATAAGGGAAAAGACTCTTTCTTTCACTATCAAGGTAGTAATAATAATAATAATGATCCTTCAATATGCTGTGCAAAATATTTATATTTATCTATGATTAAATGTTGTTCATTTGTATTTGAAATGTATCTTGTAAATTAATTTGTTATAATGAATTTGAATTGTTCAATTTACTTTATTGTATTTTTGAATGAAATAAATTTATTTGTAACAGAAAAAGATATAGATGTTTGATATGACTTCTTAATTGATTTCCGAAATCCCCTTCGCCATTGATATGTCTTGTCAACATCATCACTAATTGTTATGTCTGGTCGTCGATAATTGTTGTGTTGGAAACGCTTATCACTTATACTCAATTCCCATGATGCGAAAGTAAAGAATACAAAGACCGGTATAAGTAATGATTTATTAACCTAAAAACACGACGACAATGATGACAACCCTAGTCGAAAATACACTCATTTACATATTGATTGTACACACATACTTTGATTACTAATTAGGATGAAATCACATATATGAAAAATACTCAGTTATAACAAATCACCTACTGAGCATAGTTCATGGCCGTTGAATACAAAAATATTGTATGTTATAAAGAATAAAATATCACAGGTTGAAATCATGAGTCAGTTGAAGCTAGACCACCATTGGAAACCTGGAAGCACTGGATGGCCGTTTCGTCCTGGTATGGGACGAAACAGCGGTACGTATCCACGATCCCGCACCACGCGGGGCTCGAACCCAGGACCTACTGGCTTCGCGCGCGAGCACTTAACCACTAGACAACTGAGTCGGCATTCAACGGTGATAATGTCTAACTTCAACCAATCCACGAAGTTGCGCCACCGTACACCATTGTCTTCAGTGAGTTGTTATCTCACAACAGACCGGTTGAACTCCACTGGTAACGGCTTCTCACTAGAACTCCAGGAGTTTTTCTTGAAGTCAGTCACTAATGAGCAGTTGATTATTATCAGAATGGGTTTTTGTGGAGAGTTTTAGAAATTTCACAGGTTGAAATCATGAGTCAGTTGAAGCTAGACCACCATACGGGAAAGTAAAACCGATTACTACACTGAATAATCATCACATTGAATCAAAAACGGGAGTGATGTTGAATAAAATTCATAATGGGTAAATCAATCTAATTTTGATTTTTCTTTCCATCATGTCCATTTTATATATATAAAGGTTGAATTTTCCCGTTGTTATAATACACAAGGCTACAATTAAGCAGATTCTGTTATCATTTATGCATTCTAAGCGTATTATCTCAAATAGCATTTAGTCTCAAAGTTTGATTGATGTTAATTAGTGACTGAATGATGGAATTTAGAATGTATATTATTTTTTTCAATTTACTAACATATATAACCGTTACAAATAAAATTCATATCATTTCAACAAGCTAGTGGCTAGTTGAACTCAATGAATAATGCGTTAGCATTTGGACATGAACATTGGGATATAGGTACATCTGATCGATAAGTTACAAATAGGATTAAGTCCACGTTTTGGACTTCATTGCCAGTCACTATCTAATGAAGTCGTTCAACTAAATAACAAAATCATAGTAATCCACTGTTAGGGAATTCGAGATTGTTCATCGCTTGAAGAACTTACAGATAACTATAAAAGGATAGAGATTCATATTCTTAAGCTGTTAATGGTGTTATAATAGTCATCAAATTGTATGTTTCATTAAAATTTTTAATTTGACCAAGTGATTTAATAAGAACAATGACAGGAATATAGTTTTTTTTTTAAATTTACATGTTTAGTTATTCCGTACACTTAATGTTTATGTGTGTGTTTACTCAAAGTTAGTAGAATTACGGTTAGTTGATACAAACAAAATGGTAGATACAAGTTTTCTTGTCTTTATATTATGATTATGCAGTGAGTAGGATTTTATAAAATATCAGTGGAAAAGAACAGAGTAAATGAAAAGCATACATCACTCAACAACTTAAAGAACCCAGTTACTGTCTTAAATAAATAGTTTAAAAGAAATACGCTGGCCAAACCACTTTACACTAACTAATTTACATGTGGGTGTTTTTGAGTCTTATTTTCAAATATAAACTTTAACTGTATTCTATCATCGTAATTAATTTGGTCTGATATCATAGAGAAAAGAATGCTTGAAAATACGGAATAATTTTTCGAAAGGTATTTAATAGCTTCTATGACAATTGAATTAGCTCATTTTTGGTAAAAATCAAAATATTTTACTTGCATAATGATCCTAATTGAAAAACTATTGAAAATTAAGTTACATTAGACACCTGTTTTGTCCTAGTGTTGGACTGCTCGGGAATGCACACTATGACTGTTTTAGGGATAGAATAGAGGTTTAATCTTTAAACTATTGACCCAACATTCACTAGTTTGCGATATTGAGCAATTATGCTTTAATGCCACTACATACGAACTACTGGAAGGGATCTCAGTGGTCTAACCAACTAAGTGTTTGTCTTGAGACAGGTTCGAGCTCTGGGGGGTGATGAGGGCAGACTGTTGAAAGGCCACGTATGTAAACGGGAAAGCTGTCTACTGCTTCCTGGATTTCAGTGATTATATGGGATCAGTATATGGTGTAAACTATGAAATTCAACAACCTCCACAAACCCCCATATAATAACGAATACTGGTATTTTATTAGGACGTTTTACTGCGTAGCATATTATTAATATTATTTTGTAGAAGCGTTAGTGTGTCTCAAATGAAAAGTGATTTATTTTTTACGAAGTTGCTTGAAACCGTTAGTTTAATCTGTTTTGAATACAATAAACGAGCGTGTCCAGATTTATTGATAATAAATTAAAGGATTCGTATATGTGATTTTGAGTTATGTATGTCTAAAGACTGAAATAAAAATCAAATACTGGTTTCTAATGTTTATTTAGTTAATTTCAGTCTATAGTGAAAATTATCTCCCAAACAAAACATATTTTTATATATCTAAATGAACCATACTACTCATTATTGGTCAGTAGAATGAATCATTATAGTTATATATTGATGCAGGTTGAATCATAAACAGTAACCATCAGTCGATTGCTTTTGGTGTAATTCAGGACACAATTATCCAGAGTAATGAGGTTTCAAATTGTTTTCATACTATTTTATTTATTATCCTTGTCTCTTCTTACCCTCTATTTCTAGTCTATTTGACCATTTATTTTTATATATAAATGTTCTTAACAAGTATATGTGATCAGATTGTTCGAAATTTATTGCGCTAATATATCACATAGTTCTGATAATCTTCGCCTCATTATACTATAGAAACAATTAAGAGTGTTTATAGGGTTTCTCGAAGTTTCCCGTGTATTATATACTAGCCGACACAGTAAAATTATTCACATATTTATGATATGTGCAATCGGGGACAATCTTTTGTACGGATCTTTGAGGGAGTGTGTAAATTATAATCACTGAATCGTTGTTAACAGGCGTTGTTTCGTGGACCCCATAACTGATTTTCACGTTAATAATGTTGACAGTTTGGTGACAATTAAGTAGGAATCTTTGGCTTTGTCTAGTCTCTAAAGGTAAAGGGAACTATAGACATTGGGAAGTTCTTTATCGCACCTTCGTTGATTTTAATAACAATAAATCAAACATAAACCTTTATAAATTTAAAAGTCATTTAAAAAGTGCATGTGCATTCTAGACTCGTTTCACTGGCATTTTAACTAGTTAATGAAGGTCTGTGGAATCACTATTTACATTTAAACTCAGTAATATAAATAATCTTGAGACTATTTATATTTTCAGATGCTTTATCGTGACACCTATTCATCATCAAACAATATTATTAAGTCTAGCCAGTTACACTTTTTAAAACGGACAGTGAGCTATGTTGCTCAACATAGCAGTACATTGTATTTATTAAGTCAAATTTGGGTGCAGATCATCATGAAACGGATTTTTTCAATATTACCTAGACCCCAACATAGTGAGTTAGGTAACCATTAGAATACGTATTATGATTCTTCCTTTCTTATATATACTCAATCAGTCAGTAGAGATGATGCATCAATCAAAATCCGGATTTATCCTTCTCTAAACCGAGTATACTAATCCGTCTCCAAACCAACTACGTCACAAAACCAATAACGCGCCTAGCCTGACACCATCAACCTTGAAAAATGGCAAGATATAATTTTAGCCCCAATTGGTTGGGAACGCACACTCTTCTGATAGTCAGTCCCTAGTCCAATGGGAGAACACAGAAGACATGTTTCTATGTGAGCCTACAATTCAAGTACTCTTGGGTTTATAAACAAAAATTATCAGATCAAAATTAGGAATCATGCTGCATATATCCGGTGGCAGAGAACAGATCGAAAGGTGCGTAATTCACCAGCAGCGATAAAGGAATAATAAACCGATTACAGTAGTTGAAATGCCTAACGAAAGTTCACAGAGAATATTGTAATGCAGTAGTCCAATCATCAGTATCGTTAGGAATCTGTATTTTCCAATGATTGAAGGAAAATTGTTTTTACTCATGCTTCGCTATATAATGCTAACAGCTTCGTCAGAGTAATGCCCTGGTACGGTCGAGAGTGGGGAGAGTCCGCTCTCCCTCTCGAAATGCTCTCACATGGCCACACGAATATAGCCTCTGTCAGGGAAGTCCGACTCATTGCCTTCTCGTGGCGGGGGTGTTGTTTACGAAATTGAGAGGACGAAAAGTGAGTGTCCGGCGTTATAACCCGGTTGGTGGACATGGAGAGTCCACCTAGGGGAGTTGGAAAACCCTGATTCTAAACCAATGGTGCACATGGGCTCCAGTATCCTGAAGGAACAAATGGCGTATGAAACAATCGTTGGTCACCGGCTACCATGGGACTGCATCTCCTCACGATGCTCCACTGCCTTGTGGATCAGACCTTCAGGTCGAAGGCTCCGGGTGTGGCCCCCTAAGATAACCACCTGCTTCGGTCTGGGCACCCGGACAGTATCACAGCCCTCACACATACCGAATGAGATTTGTGTGGCGCATATGTATTTGGTGCCTCCTTGTACCAATATCTATGTGTTAAAATAAAATAAATAATAATGATTGTTTAGCTTAGATCGGATCGTGATTTCATTACCTCCCTATTGATAATTGAATTTTTTTTAAAAAACACCAAGAAAATTCCCTATTCATGTTTTTGTTGACAGTGATAATGAAGATGTGCGTTACACAACTGAGATCTTTATCCCATGAGGTTATGATTTGGTTTACTTAGTTCAATTGTATTGTCGCAGATAAATTAATTGAATATAGGTTTGATAATAAGTTTTATACGAATAATACTTAACTGGATCTAGTCATCTCTTCATCAGTTGGTTGCAATATCACATTGTCTTGAATAGTATTCATCTTTCTTTGAAGATTCTTCTTAAGTTCTAACTCATTTTTCAGAGTTGATGCTGATAATTTTACTTAGAAAGACAATAAAAATTTCATTAATCACTAGGATAAGAGAGTACAACATTTATCATTACGTAATTGCAGATTATTATTTATTTATTTATTTAAACACATAAACATTGGTACAAGGAGGCACCAAATACATATGCGGCACATAGATCATTCGATTTGTGTGAGGGCTGTGATACTGTAAGGGTGCCCAGACCGAAGCAGGTGGTTTTCTTGGGGGGCCACACCCGGAGCCTTCGACCTGAAGGTCTGATCCACAAGGCAGTGGAGCATCGTGAGGAGATGCAGTCCCATGGTAGCCGGTGACCAACGATTGTTTCATACGCCATTTGTTCCTTCAGGATACTGGAGCCCATGTGCACCATTGGTTTGGGATCCGGTTAAAGTGTCGGACACTCACTTTTCGTCCTCTCAATTTCGTAGTCAATACCCCCACCACGAGAAGGCAGTGAGTAGGACTTTCCTGGCAGAGGCTATATTCGCGTGGCCATATGAGAGCATTTCGAGAGGGAGAGCGGACTCCCCCCACTCTCGACCGTACCAGGGCATTTGGGGGCTGGTTCATTCTAGTATGGGACTCCTGAATGGTGTACACCTACGATTCTGAAACTGGAGACCAAACTCAGGACTTTCGGTCTCGAGAAAGAACGCCTAATAATAATTTCACATTTAGAATCAGAACAACTATATTTCACCATATGATAGTAGCCTACACTGGAATACGAAATTATTTCATCATATTCGCCACTTGTCAGCTCCATCGCTAAGTCAATGTATTTACATAGATAGACTCAGTCTAAAGCCAAAAATCTTGAGCATCACACCATATCTATTGTCCACAAGAATTAGAATTTATAACAGCAACCAACGTTCCAAACGAGTATGATCTTTGGTAATAAAAACCCTTAAATCTATGAACTACCTTTCTGTACCAATCAGATTCAATACTAATCTACTAAAAATCAATCAACCAATTAGGTTCTCAAACCAATGATAACCATTAAAAAAACAAGTATAAGTCGGGGAGACCTCAAATGCACTGGTACGACCAAGTATAGGGGGAGTCCGCTCTCCCTTTTGAAACGCGTATATAGTCACTATCAGGGAAATCTTATTGACTACAATCTCACAGTGGGGGGTGTTGCTTATGAGATTTAGAGGACGAAAAGCGAATGTCCGGTGCTTGAACCGGTTTAGTGGGTACGGAGTATCCATCTAGGGGAATTGGAAAACTTTGATTCGTGAAGAAAAGTGCATATGAGATATATAATCCTGAGATAACAAACGATGTATGAACCTATTCTTGATTTTTGGCTGCCATGGAAGCGCATCTCCTAACGTTGCTCCATTACCTTGTGGATTAGATTTTGAGGTCAAAGAATCAGAGAGTGGCCTACTAAGAAAAACCTGCTTCGATTTGTGTACCCAGACAGTATCCCAGCCCATACAGAAATGTAATGATCAATTGTGTGGCCCATATATATTGTAATGACCCTTTGTACAAATGTTTATGTGCTTAATTGGATAAATATATATTAGTAGAATGGGGATTTGTGGGAATTGAGGATACACTTTGCTAAGGTGTCCCATACTAGGACAAAATGGCCGTTTAGTGCTTCTAGGTTTTCAATGATGGTCAAGCCTACATCGACTCATGAATTTAACTATTATAATAAATAATCGTTAGCAAAAAGATGTTTTTTTTTACAATTCCACAGTTAATTTTATTATATGCACTTATACACACATAGAATAAAAACTAAATATTGAATTGGAAATTAAAACGGAACAAATTTCCAAACAAAAACTTTCGACAGATAAGTTGAACAATTATAACATGTGAATATCATCTAAGATGATTATTGCAACTACATTTTGAAGTGAAAACGAATGAAGAAATTGTATAGTTACACATAAATAATAGAAAAAAACAAAAAGAGCCTAGTAGAAAATTTTTTAAAAAACAAAAACTCAAAAGTAACTATGCAATACACACACGCATATATATATACTTCCCTATGTATAGACAGTAACATTGGCGCATATAAATTATACACAAATAAGGAATGTTATCGCTTCAATTGACACTAGAGAACATAATAAAAGATTTACTTGACTTGTTGATAACAAAAAAGAAAATATAATAAGAATAGTGAAGAACTGACTAGTTTTAAAGTCCACCGGAACGTTGACCACTTGTATCACCTATTATATGTTTTATATATAGACGATTTAATTGTTCTAAAAAGATAAATGTCAATACTGTGTGAGGTCCAATACGCAGAAAATATGGTGTAAAACCTTTCCATAGTGATAGAATACCTTCATTTCGTACTACTCGTAAAATAACATCCTAGAATAGAAGAAAATAATGTTATATAAATAAAAAAATGAAGAACTATGTTAAAAGTACAAAACTTGTTTTAATCATTTTTCATAAAGGTCATATTGTCAGTTAGCCATAAGCAAAGTAGAATCTGATAAATATGTGCATAGAATTAGTAACATTATCAGTAGTAGTGGTAGAAAATATATGGTATAGACAATATGATTACATTAATCGCATGAACTCTAACTAGATAGTAGTCTGCAGGTACCAATATAGTTTGGATCAATAGTTAATGACTTCATAGATTAACACTATAACTTAGTTTGTTTCATACTTTCCGTTAATAACTCAACAATCCCCCAGTAGAAATGGGAAGTAGTGTACTATGGTGGATTAATTTCAAGATAAGTAGGAAATAAATATCTGTTAATGACATTTGCTTAAAGATGTTTGTATAACATACATAGAACACAAAAATGAATCGTAAAGAATAATACACATTCATAAAATATCAGGAAACGTTTACAGTTTTGCATACTAAGTCATTGGTTAAATCAACTTTTCAAACATTGATACGTCATTTTAGCTTCTTATATTAATCGAAAGTGAAGTGCGGTTTGAACTATTCACGAAATAGTAAAGAGATACTTTATCTGAATACATTCAGGGGAATTATACTTAATCATTCATCTTCTCATTCATTGCGAGGTTAAGAAAGTAATACTTAACATAAGGCTGGAGGAACACCACAACCGAGCCGATAATGAGTAATTTCTTCGAGAGTATCTGCAAGATCCTCGTTTGAAATCAACTGATAAAAGTAGGTTTTAGGAAATCAAAAGGAATGACAAAAACCAATTATCGGGGCATAAACACCGATATTTCATAGATGTTGCTTAAATCACTCAATAATATTATTAATATATAGAAAATCAAAGATCAACTAGACAAATTAGAAGGCAAGAGAAAAGGAAAGATGATAAAGAAAACACGGTGAAATACACGAAGCTGGTCAATAAATCAATATTGCCATGGTCTACTTTGACAACGTTTAGGGTGATAAAAATTGGTATTAAACATGAAAAGAGGGTTTGAACTTTCGTATCTCCAAGGCCTCAGTAAACCTTAGTATATGGAACTCTCCAATAATTTACTTGAAAACTCAATCTAAAATATGTCTTTACAGATGGTACGTGGATAGTATTATAATCTTAGGAGACGAATATGAAGATGAAAACCACCTGTTGAGGAAATTTAACACACTTCTCTATGAGAAGAGGATGTGAATAACCAGCCTTCGTTTTTAAACATACTAATTAGTAGGAAAGTGGATGGTTGCATCAAAAATTCCATATATAGAAAGTATATATAGACAGAGCAATATCTTAGTTTACATAGTCATCGTCTAGTCTAGTACGAACATGAGCTAATAAAGAGTTTATTTATTAGGACTAATCATATTTGTACAAACAACACTATTAAAGAATGTGTATTCACTAAAGCTCATAAGCCCATAGAAAGGAAAAAATATGATGAGAACCGCTATGCTTTCAATACATAAAAAACTTGCCTATATCACCCTATCATTACTAAAATAGCCTCACGTTGAAACGAAGACTTAAATTAGCAATCAGTAGTTCTCTTTACGCGGCCCAACTCATCGTTTCGAAGGGAAAAAGTTTATATTTCGCCAAACCCCACCCCTGAAAGAACATAAACGAGTGCCACATTCTGTTGCGTCTATAAATTTATATGTTTGTGCAGACATACAAATATAGGGAGGGACAACTGGGACCTGAAAGTGTCTGGACACAATGATCGAATAAAATCACATCATAGATGAACATTTTCCTTCATTGAGAAACATTTAGTTGAGATGGTTTATCTGGTTGATATTAAATCACCTCTTGAAGTGTTGTATGGGTATTCAAATGCGTTTACTAAATTTGTTGAAGTCTTATTTTGTCTTAACAAGTACTTGTATGATCAGATTGTGTATAGTGCTAATATAGTTCTTATAATCTGTGTCTTGCCATTGCATTATTCAAAACTATCAAAGCGACTAACTGTTTTAGATGTTTTAAAGATAAAGGGAACTATGTGTATGAAGTTTTAGATGTTATTGAACCAAAAGTAATTCCAAACAGTGTGTTCGTCTTTTTTAGATTTTTTGCAACATTCTTTATATCAGACTGTAATGACTCATACAAACTGTAATTAATATGACAGGCTGATACAAAAAACTATTTTGTGACCTTATCTGACCTTTATATCTTTAACTGTAACATTCATAGTCATATAGTATACTTTTCTATATAAGTAATCCTAACCTTTCACTTACGTACGTTCATATGTATGTATGTATTTTTTAAATGGCCGTTTGCCTAAATTAAGATTTTCGTACATCAGCTTGGTTATGGAGTTGATGTAAAGCCAACCCCTAAGCTTTACGCTTATATTTTTTGTTTACCAAAATCATCTATCTGAGCTATAAATCTTTTTTCATCTCAAAATTCATTTTTACTACATCTGTCTACTTGTGTATGAATGTCTCAAATTTTCCAAGCACATTTTGTATTTGACTTTTGTTACCCCACTATTGCACAACAGCGTTAGGCCAAGTGTAATATGCCAAACTAACTGGGTAATCATATATTATCATCGTTGCAATTCATGGAGCTAATAACATTCATCAATTTAAATGTAATTAACAATCATCGTTAATAAGTTATTTCTGTTTCAGGTCAAGTGGAAATCGAAATGCTGCTAGCTGAGTATTTTCACTTATTTGATTCAAATGTTTTAATAACGCATTGTTAATCGTAATCTCACAAATACTTAGTGATTGATCATGAACCAACATCTTGACTTCGTCATTCATATCTACTGTTTACATTCATTATCGACTTTGTAGTTAGCAGGATGAGTCATTGTGCATCAGCTTGGGTAAAACTTAACTTCCTGTGGTTTATCATTAATGACGTACTAGTGATACCTCGTGTGTTTTTTACTTCTTCATACAATTTCAAAGTGAGGTTTGGGTCAGCACTAGGATAACTTTGAGTAGATTGGTTCCTTTACAATAATTTTATTTGAATACAATGAGGATTTCCAGTTATTGCTGAAGAGGTGAGCTTGAAGTTAAGAATAATACGAATTGAAGCAAACAATTTAAGGTGAACAAACAACACCAATACAAAACTTATCAATGGTCAACAACATCTGTGTGACATGTTCATTGACTAATTTTCAGTGCTTGTTATAAACTCGGAGAGTACCTTGTATGATTGTTGCAAAATAACTGTATATGCTTATCACTGTTATTAGCTTTTTGAAATTTTTTCTGATTGGCGTTTTTTTATCAAAGTTTTCCTCCCTGCTCAACCCTCTGCCTCTATCCGAGCTTGGGACCGGCAGTACCTTTAGAAGACCTACAGGAACTGGGAATTAGAGGTAGACATCAAAAGGAATGAATAGCACTTGAAAACAAGTCGAAAGGAGAGATTAAGACAGTTGATTGGAGAATCCTGATCGGCCTATCCCCCACTAGATGTAACAGGGCGTAAGTAAGTAAGCTTTTTGAGATAACAATAAAAGTTCGACTGCATAAGCACTTACCTACTTTACTTACATTCCCTGTTTTTATCCTGAACTTATTTCGGGTTTATTACATCAACCTAATTCTGGAACAGGTCTAATAACCAACCAAAGTATTCACCATTCACTCAACAGAAATTCGACTGTCATAAATTTTTAAGCAGAAACTACAAATAACAGATAATCACTTCCCAGATGTTACAAACATTCACAAAGCTAATTCACTGAACATTATATGACAACTATCGACAAGAATCTACTCTAAAAATGAACTGTAAACGTCCACTTCAAACAATATTTATTGAAACGCAATCAAGAAGTTATTCTTTAATAGGTATGCGAAAAATAAAAGATTCTTACCCCCATATTTTTATACTCTGGTTTTCCATCAATAGTTTTCATATTTTGAATTCTAGTTTTAGCAATATCAATCGGTAAAGAGAAAACAGATGTAGTAAAACCACTTAATAAGCTAGCCATTATGTGTACATTCAAGCCATCAGTGAAATGACCTAGAGAAAAGTAAAAGAATTCCAAAACATGGATAAATTTACTTGATGGGCATAACCTATTATATAACAAATGACATGATATGGACTTATTACATGAAACTGTAATCATGATGACGATGATGTAGAAGACTTAAGTCAAGATTATGTGTTTGTTGACACTCATTCTACCAAGAATATTTAAATTGTTTAAAGATCGTCATCATATTAGAAATTCGATTGTACTATTATTTCTCTCACCCTATCTGACCCATATTTATTCGGATCATGGATCTTAGAATGTAACTTAACATACAAGCCGATTCAAGTTAATATTCCATATGAGTCCTATCAACATTAACAATTTTATTCTATTTTGTTAGTCTTTTAATATTTGAATTCACTAACTGTTGTCGTTCTCACCACACTGAAACATATAGCTATTGTTTACATATACAGAAGTGGAATTCATCACACAGTTGATAGAAATATTATTATGAGTTCAAATAAATGTGAAATCGAAATCAGACATGACGCTTCCTGGTGATGTTTTCTCAGGAAATAAATCCTGAAAGTAAGGTACCGAGAATCATATTGAGATATAGCTTATTGATAAGTTCGAATGATTTAATTCCATCAGTTACTTTACTAGTAAACTTTCGTTAATTTAAGACAGAGGACACAGTGATTACCGATAGGAAATACTTTTCTAAAATATAATAATTTCCGAAGCACAACCGATCAATAACAACGTTTCTGATATCGAAGTGGAGTTTCTTACTTCAACTTTAAAAAAAGAATTTGGTGAATCATGTACTAACCCTGAAATATTCTTCGAACATAGATCGAGCCAAAAACGTAACTAATAAAAGCGCCAAGTCGAATGAGTTCACTGAATGGCTTGATCAAGACTGTTTCATACAGTAGTAGTTTATACATTAATTAGTGGATTATAAATTAATCATTTGTATTTGTATTAGATTTCAACATCAAACATCATAGTGGAATGAAAACTAAATATTTTTTAAAATATTCATTGAAAAATTAGCTCTAACTTACCGACTTCAAGAAGTTTTTGTTTGGCTTGAGAATAAGTAGCTAATTGTGCACCATTAACTACAGCTGCTCGACCCATAGTTGGGACTGCACCCTACAAAGTAAAATTATACAGAGAAATACACATATGCTTCTTCCGAATAAAAAAACATTCAAGTGACGATTCATTGGATTATAGGAAATGACTTGTTCAGTGGTTGGATTTAGGATGACTGACAGGATGTGTACTACCGATTAACTAGTGAAACAATGAAGTGGTTATGAAAATATTGAGCGAAAGCATTACTTTAACATTTGGCTTAAAATAATTTCTATTGCGATATAACACATACTTTTTTATTTAATTTTGTTTCTTGACTGTTGAGTATTAACATATACTTGAAGAAACTTGATATCTATCATGCATCAGTTTAGAGTTGTAGAGATCGTTGAGTTTCATTGAAATCATGAACCGATCTAATTTGAAACATCATTGAAAACTTGGAAGCACTGGAAGGCCACTTCGTCTTAGTATTCGAGTCCTCAGAAGTGCGCATTCACAACTCCGTGGCTGGGAAACGAACCCAGGACCTTCAATCTTGCGAGCAAATGCTTATCCTATAGACCAATGAGCCAACATCCAACAGTGTTAATGTCTAGCTCGTAGATGTTCACTGCTCAGGAGTCGCATACTAGGACGGGACGGCCATTCAGTGCTTCCAGGTTTTCAATGGTGGTCTAGCACAGATGGGCTCATGATTTCAGTGACAAATCATTTACTTTCACGGAATAGGTTTGACCGATGTATACGAACTTGAAGATTGTAAAATAAAACGTATACTCTGATAATAGTGAAGCTGAACAGGTTATAAATATTGGTGTTTTAGCTTGGTAATTTCCGAAATGTGAATTGGACAAACACTGATATCATTTTTATGTGTGATTTTTATTCATTATTAAGTAAAGCTAAACGAAAGACATTAGAAATCATCGACACAAACATTTCATTTAGAAGGTGAATTCCCTTCAATAAACAAATATACAATACAAACGAAAATTCAGAAGCGTTAGGTACCTAAGAGAATTACCGTACATTTTAGTTAATTTCAACATTTATATGGATAAATTATCCACCACAAACTTGATGGAAATGTAATTACGAACAAAAAGTAACAATTTTTATGGGATAAATGGGATGTATCTAACAGTGGGATCTAGGAAGAGCGTTTCGTCCTATTTGGGACTAGTTAGCTGGCTGTACCTGAATTACAGAATTAATGTCCACTTCAGGACGCCAAATCGGTACCTTTCGCTCCAAGTGTCTAACCCGTTATCCACCTATTTACTGAGTCCAGATAGTTGCTAGCTTGTGACAAACTAAAGCTTATCAAAATTTAGCCAAAAATATCAACGATAAGATAATCTAAAGTATTATGAACTAAATTAGGTGGGAATTCCTTTGCTATTACTACTTCATGTTGAAATAGAGCTAAAACAAGATATTGATACTAATTTGTTAATCTACGCATTAAAAAAACATAAGTCCAGTGGATAAGAATGAAAAGTGGGAAAGATTAAAGTAAGAGTAACATAAAATATGATTTGAAGGATGAAATTAAGAGAGACGACTGGCACTCGTTGGCAAGACCCACCTGCAACCTCGAGAAAACTGATTCCTGCTTCGCGATTCTAAACCACGTCAAGCACCCTCACAGGTTGGGATATTACCACTAAGTTGAATGATAAAGGTTTGAATCCCACAGGGGAACATGAACTATCTCAAGATTACAGGTACACCTAAGGTATGCTTAATTGCTAATATACTACCTCATATATACTGAATATTTGGAAGTTGTAAGAACGCGAATTGATGTAAACTTGAAAACTTGTACGTCAGTAGTTAACTCGGGAGATTATCATTACATTAAACAAACCTCCATAAAAAGATCACATTTTACAAGATTTTATATGATAATATTTTGATTATTTACAATAATAGAAAAACGTGCACGCTTCCTACACTTCACATGATAGTGTCAGATGAGTGAAAATGAGATAACTAAACATGACCTATTAAATTCCGGTTCATTGTTCAATCTATCTTTTTTTTCATTTGTCTACATTGATTATCTACATTCAATAAAAGAAGAACAATCGGTCACATTCAATTCGACTGTTAACTTTATTGATTTGTTTTATTGACATACATAGTTATTGACAAACCCAATCGGAATTCATGAGGTCATTGTGTGGCGTGATAAGTTTAAAGCGTAAATCTAATTCAACATTATCATTCTCTTTGAATATAATATCAAGTATTTACACTAGACATTCTTTTTAAAAAGATGTCATGAAAGTCAGATATTATTTAATGGCTTGTAGCGATTATTAACTGTAGTCTTTTTATTTAAATGTGTCATTTGTTATCTATAGCATTTTACTTTTCTTGTGGCATCAGCAAATTTTCTGCATAAACCTTTTCATCATCAGAAGTTATTAAAATTTTACAATACACAAATTGACTATCGTCTTATTACAAGTTCAAAAATTTATGATCTATAACAGAAATAAATATATTTGGCGAATCGTTTGAATATACCTAAGCTTCTGAATTCGCAGAAATGGTGAACAATAAGATCAACTAAACTATCGTTGTCGTCCATAATTATGCGTAATTGGTTTATGAAGTACAGGTTTATGCGCTAGGTTTTGAGAGATTTATATGAGTTACTAATATTAACTGGTTGTTCATACAAAAGTAGGTGAGGTGAGATTCGAACCTGTGGTCTAATATTTGGAAACTGAGTACTTTATCCATCAAACCATCGTTCATTTATGATTGAAAATCGGACGAAATAAATTATATATAAGGACTATTTATTGTCAGAGATTAGAAATGTGGTGACTCAAAATTTCCATATAATATCTATTTATCTTCGTTGTCAATCTTACCGTATCACTATTAAATTTACTATATTTTTTTACCCAGCCATACGTAACGTAGAATTTGAAATGTAAGTGAATCGGTTTAAGTTGTCATACCACCTTAGTACAGCCAGATAACATTATTTCAAAACGAACCGCAGAGTAGTAGAAGTGGCAACAGTATCATCAGGTAATAGAATATTTTGGGACTCGGGTTCCGAAGGAAGACAAGGAGCAAAATTCACACCCACTACTGTGAGCGGTTCTGAGCCATGTCACCCCAAGCCTTTAACCACTGGTCACAATAACCGCTCAGACCTCAACCAGGTAGTCTACATTTACTAGCATGGCGTAGTTCAATCGTCGGTTACTTCATGAACTGGTTCTACATCTTGGTTTGGCGGCCCTTAACTTTCTTCCAACATCCTACGACGCCAAACAGTGGCTGGGGATACGTAATACATGTCCCAACAACCTCAGTTAGTGAAGATTCAACAAACCATCAATGAATTTAACATATTTACCTAGTAACTTGCCTCTGATCTGAACATTGCTAACTCGGTCGTCCAAACAAATATGAGCGATGCTTTGAAAATACCTATTATCAAATACTATCAACTTAAAAATATTCATTATTCTTAATGGCCTCGTAGTTAAGGCCTTCGGCTTTTAACCATTAAGTTCCTGGTTTGAACCCCACTTCATTTACTTCGGTTTGGGAAACCGGGTAGAACCATTAGCCCTAACATAGAGTGTGGCTCATATGCAAGTATCTGGCAACGGAATTCGTTCTTATTTGCTTAATGACCATGTTTCATATCCATAAAGCAGAACATAAAGAAATGCGCAGCAACCTCGTCTTTTGGTTAGTATACGAATATCTCGTCTACGCCACAAGTCATATGAGTTGGCAAGGTCCAATCGAGTTTTCTGAATCCGTGCCGAGATTTTGATAGGCACCAGCCCATCAGGACTGATGAAACGGTGAGATGGTCAATGTACTCAACCATTTCTATTTTCTAGGACAATGTCGAAGACCAAGGTATTTTAGTGATAGAATACAAGGGCTATGTGAACTGTGTACACTAATTAACAACGATGTATGCATCCGATTCACACCCTTTGCCTTTTTTGAGACTTCAAGGTTCTGACGCCTGATTGGACAAGCTCCCAGTATAATTCATTAGTACAGTAGACTTTAAGAAAAAAAACTCTAGCCTGATTTATTTAGAATTATTCGGACTCGTAGGTCTCAATTTTTAGTGTCAGAAGGCTTGATTTTTTGAGAATAGTCTTAATAAGTTAAATGGTGAAATTTAAGCAAGCCTAAATGAATCGAATACGTAAACTATTTTCATAATCATTCGGTTATATACAAATACCTTACAATATATATACATATATTACTACAAATATTTTTAAAAAAAGATATAATATTAATACCAGGTTGGTTTACTTACCCGCCACAATGTCAACACTCCTTCTTCGCGAGCGATTCTTATTAGAGCATTGAACACATTGGAATAATTTAGACGTTCTGCTGGTGGTAATCTTGTGAATTAAAATATTCACAAACAAAAAAGCTAGTTACTAGCTAGTTATTAAAACGATTTGGGGTTAGAAAATTGGATTGTTTTTAGCAAACTCTAAATTTAACAGATAGGTTACTAATGTAAATAAGATTAACTTCGTAGTGTTCTGATGAGCGTTCATGAGGAGCGAAAACATAAATCGCCGATTTTTTTGGTTTATGAATAATGATCGAATTTCTAAACCGTCAATTTACTACTTGTGATAAAACGCATGGTATTAAATTTTAGAAGTGAAATAAGAAAGTTTTATGAAATGGCTCTAACATTTTAATTTTACTAATACAATTTTCTTCATGATTGTGGACATACGTATACTGAAGGTGAAATATATGTGTGGATTAGGTTTTAAATTACAGATATTATTGCAGCCTGACCCACCTGTAAGAGAATCATTAACTGAACAAGAAATTTTACTATCTCTTCGAGTATGATTAAGCTGACAAGTGCTAAATATGACTAAAATAACACAAAGAACCAATCCATGAAAGTCATAACTATTTCTCTAAGCCATGTATGTTACTTAGTTAGAATAACCATAATGTAATGAATCAATGATCTAGGAGCTGAGAAAAAAAGGTTCAAAATCAATCGCATGTGCGCAGACTGTCACCATGCTTAATCATATCTTCTCCTCTAATTTTTTAAGGATTATCTCCTCAGTTTCTATCTGTGTATTGTTGAGATACGGTTGTTTAGATTTTACATTGTCAACTATGTCTGTTATGATCGAAATAATTTACGATTAATCGAAGATGATGAGTTGTGTGAATAGCAAGCTAGTCAGTCATAAGTAACCCGACACTTGAGACATATGTTCCTTGATCCAAGTTAGCAGTCGGCTTTGGATCATACCGTTTGTATGAATATTAATGATACTATCTGGTTGCCAAACAAAAGTAGGTGGGAGTGGGGTTCGAACACCCAACCTAGTAATTGTAAGTCGAGCTTCTAAACAATACACCACTGCTAATAACACTCCAGTGAACTTCAAGGTACTATACGTTACAGAGGCCCAGGACGAAACATGATCATTGATTTACTCTAATATGAAAACAAACCACGACCTACATATAAAAAGATATATTCTCAAGATTTCGAGACTATAGAGAACAACTGTAGCTCCGGAGAGCGAATTTGGTAAAAATATGTTTTATAGGTTGAATGGTTTAGGAGTGAAGCTTTCGTTATCTTTCCAAACAACACCATCAGCAAAAAAGTCAAATCCAAGTGAGGAATTCAAGTTTATTCACATATAACTAACAGCTTGCTCAGCCTGCATTGATTTTGATGAGTTGGTGTTAACACTTGATTTATCATTGTTTTCCCGTTGATTATTGATCTTATAATTGTTCATGATTTTTCTAATTAGTTAATAAGTTGGATCGATTTTGATAAGTTTATTGATTGATAGTTTACCTGAGTGCCAAGCTTCTAAAAATTCTCCGATATTCTTTGTATTCCCTCTGTCCAACATATCGAAATTTTCCCAACTGAACATTCACACACAATTGTCTCAGTGAATTGATATAAGTGAATATAAATCGTGGTGTTTGACAGTTAGTTAGTGGGCATCAAGAGGCCTCTTTTCTTTTTCGTCTGCCTTAAACAAAATGTGACTGTTTGTAAAGGTTGTTTAAACTACGTGGTCAGTTAGGCATTCATTTCTACTGAGTGCAGTAGGATTTAGTAATATGTCAAAAACTTCAGCGATTCACCTTTCCTGATAGGTTGGAAAACCTTTTTGAATTATTCTTGCACCTTTAATATCGATTTGATAGTTGCTGAAAATACTGTTCCTGATGATTTAACTTGTAGATTCTCGAGTTCCACATGATTATCAGGTTGTTATACAGCTTAGATGTTCTTTCGGTACGAATCAAGATTTCACGTGAAGACCCTCCAATATAGATACAATCAAATTTGTAAACATAATTCTGTGTAGCAGCAAACAGGATTCTACCTTTATTTCGAACATTTAGATGAGTATTAGTTGTGTTTTACAATGCATCAGTTTTGTGTTACCTTAAGATTCATTCCAGTTCATTTGTTGTATCAAACAATGAATCTTCTTTTAATATTTATAGAATTATTGAATCCTAATTTTATTATAAGCAGTCCGCCCAATTGTTATAAACCCTGGTAATGATACCTATAAAACTTATGTATTTTTAAATTACATTACGTTACAAAAGCAAGTTAACAAGAATGTAACACACATACGTTTATATTATTACCTGCCATCAGATGTCATACGGATAAGACAAATTTCGGCTGGTGTACCAATGAATGCACCGCATATCCCAGCAGTTACAGCTATACTTATTTTAGTGAAGAAATTGGGAGATTCTTTTTTACGCTTTGTATATTGTTCAAATAAATTTGTGTAAATGCCTAAACGAGCAGTTGAGTAGGTGGCTTGACGAAGTAATCCAGCTGATAAACTAAAAGAACAGTTAATTTTTATTCGTTTATTCAGTATTTTCGCTATAAATTATTCAGCTAGAAAATATTGATAGTATTTAAGTGGCAAATAATATTGTAGTATAGCTAACACTAACCATAGGATCATGTAATTTTATGATTAGCATAGAAAAGTACCTAGACTATGGTAACCATCTATCTAAGGTAGATAAATCTAGCACGATAACTTTATGAAAGACGTGAACTTTAAATGTACTCCATGTTCGAAGTGAATGCAAAACTAAGTAGTGATCCAATTTAGCAACAAAACCAAAGTTTGAATGCTAACTCATTTGCTTACAACCACGTTTTAGGGGCTATAATAGTTGGCTTAAAAATCAACAAACCATAGTTTCACTGTTTAGGTGGGTAATTGTTTCTTCTCTATGGACAGATGGTGGTTGAATTATCTTGTCCGGTGCTATATAGCTAAGCCACCAGATAATGCATAGGAATACATACATAGAGATGTTTGTACAGGTTGGTTTAGGTTGATTTTCGTCACAGATGAATACTAATTGAAGAACCATTAGAAACTAGGTAGTACTGAATTTCTGTTTTACTCTAGCACCTGACACCAATGGTCCACATTTTAAACTTCAATTAATACATAATACAGTGTGATACTATATATCAGAGGAGAATAGGGGCCATATTTATCCCCATTTCAGTATTTTAGTAAAAATCCATACTGTATTATTAGTATTAACTTGGAGAAATTACTTTTTTCCATTTAGCCTCCTTTCAGACTTCAGTATCATTTTGCAAACATAATTTTAATAAAAGGGTCACAGAAACAGCTAAATACTAGTGAATTCAGTCAAGCACTTAACAATAATCACCAGACAGTTTATTTATAGATCAGTCTAATTCAACTTCATGCTTCAGAACCGCATAATTAATAACGTGAAATTTAGTTAGGTACTTATGAAATAAGAATCAATAAATTCTGGAAATAAACTAACCCTGAGTATATCGCAAAAAATCCTTCATTTTTAATGACTGACAGAAGTACTTGAAGACTGTTACGTTGACCAGAAGTAGCACTTCCGATACCTGTAAATTTAACAACAGAATTAAATTGAAAAATATGTAAATAAATCCTTGACAATGATAAAGTGCACCGGATCATAACAATCGATTTGCAGCCATTCAAACGATTATATTTGATAAATTAAATGGATGTAATATGCATACCGAATGAGTTTACGGAAAGTTATTTAATTGTGATTATTTCCTGCTTAAGATATTTTCTAACATCCAGTTACAGTATCATGTTAAACAGATTTTAAGGAAACATTTTGTAATATGGATACTTTTTAACCTGAAGAAAGACTCCTGATGTTGAGTGAACAGATAATATCGTTTTACTGTAAAATAGCGTGCAGGCTACTAAAAGTGCATTCGACTATTTGTTGGACAGTACTGTATTTGATTTGAATTACAAACTTATGAGATACTCTCAAAATACTAGTAAAGGTCTGTGCCTGAACACTCACTTCGTGGTGATTTGCTGGAAACAATCGACTAGTTTGTGTATTCGAGTAGCTGTGACAGGTGATGATACGGATTATATGGATCTAAAAACATACCTAATTCCATAGAAATCCTCAGATTTTGACGAATTTTGTTTCAAGTGGATACTTGAGGGCTGATTAGTTGTATTCTGAAGTTCCTAAGAAGTAAGGATTCGTGGATAAGGTTAGGGGCCCCCGGGTTTGTAGTTTTGCAGCAAACCAGAGGAAAATATCAAGAAAAGATGGATGTCACTCGTTGTTTAAATAACAAACATTGCTTTAAAATGTCATAAATATCTAATCATTTGGTAAAAAAAAGAACAAATAAACTTAGCTAATTAAGTATAGAAATGTCTCAGATGACTAAATGAGTGGGACTTAATAATAGGTAGTCAATAAGTCGATCATACTTCTAGATAGAATTATGAAGCTATTATATTCTTCCTATTCCCATAAAACTGAATTATACCTGGAATTAATTAGTTAATATGATATAGATAGAATAGAATAAGTTCAGGTCTATTTATTAATTAATAGTTGCCATGGGACAGCTAGCTGTATTCCATCTCTCCTATTAATACTGTTTGGATTAGCCCATATATGTAGGGCTTCGGCTGTTAGTCTTTCTTTGTGAGAATTAAAGCCTTTTTGAAGGATTCTTGTGCCACTGAAATCAATTGTATGACCCGATTCTATCAAGTGTGATGCTATCGCTGATTTGTTATCCAGTTTTCTTACCTCAACTGAAGATTTAGGGATGTGCTTTAAACATAGTTTGTATTCCTTCACCCTCACATTCAGTTGCCTTGATGTCTTACACATTTGTTTCATTAAGGTCACTACATTTGATTCCATAAACTCAACTCTATTGTTCTTCCTTGTGTATTTGATCTTTGATTCTTACTAGTTTTATATCTTAGAGTATTGTTTGTCCGAAAGAATACTTTTATATTTTGAAGAGCTAGAATCCTTCTGATCCCTTCTGAAATACCTATACGATATGGGGTCACCACTGTGTTAATCTTTTTGCTTAACTTTTTTTTAGTAATGTCGTTTTGTTCTTCATCCTTAATTATTCTTTTAATAAAATCCTTCGGACAATTATTCATCATTAGAGTGGATATAATTAAATTCATTTCCATTTCTCTATCATTTGGTTCAGTGACAAGATTTTTAACTTTGGTGATCAAATTTTTGGCTACTGTCACTTTGGTAGAGTGTGGATACGCTGACTTAAAATCTAGAAATTTCCCTGAATATGTCGGCTTTCGGAAAATACTAATTTTTGAACAATCATTATATTTCCTTTCAACTAAGCAGTCTAGAAAAGGTAATTAGCGTTCAAGAGATTCCAACTCCTTAGTGAACTTGATTTTGTCGTAAATGTTGACATATTTAAATAGTTCGTCTAAACCATCTCGTTTTATAATGACAAAAGTGTCATCTACGTATCTTAACCAAATTTTCGGTGGAATGGAACACATTGAGATAGCACTTTTTCCAATGAATGCATGAATAAGTTAGCAACAATTGGAGAAACTGGTGATCCCGTAGCTATACCTTCTGTTTGTCTGTACAAATCTCTTCGAAAACTGAAAACAGTTGAACAGAAACATAGATCCAACGCTTTAACAATGTCTGAAGGATCTAGAGGACAACGTTGTTTAAGTTCAGTGTCAGAATCTAAGAGATTATGTACAATATCTAAAGCTTTATTAACAGGAACATTAGTGAACAATGAGAAAACATCAAAACCTGCCATTATTTTATCCTCTTCTATGGGGATATTATTGATAATATTTTCGAAATCGTTAGAATGTTTTGTTATTCCATATTTGATTACGCTTTCATATGGTTTAAGAATTTTGACCAGGTATCTAGAAAGACTATAGGCAGATGAATTTATGTAATCAACCAAAGGTCTTAGTGGGATGTCTGTTTTGTGTATTTTCGGTAGCGCATATAACGAAAACCATAGAGATGGTCCTAGTTTCGATTTTAACTTCTGTACCATTTTCGCCCTTTCAGCTTTCAACTTATTTAAAGTGGCTCTACATTTGTTCTTCATGATTTTTTCATAGGGTCCATTGTGGAGATGTTCATTGACTTTTCTTTCATAATCAGAATTATTCATAACAACAGTGGTGTTTCCGTTGTCTGCTTTCATAATAACTATTTTCCTCTCTTTACGTAGCTGTTTTAGAGCATACATTTCTTTCGACCGGGTAAGTTGTGAGATAGTAACTCATTGATGACAATGGTGGATGTGTCACTCAATTTCGTAGATTAGTTGAAGTTGGACATTAACACCGTTGGATGCCGACCGGCTCTGTGTTCTAGTGGTTAAGCGCCCGCGTGCCAGACTGGTAGGTCCTGGGCTCGAATCCCACGAGGTGGGGTCGTGAATGCGCACTGCTGAGAAGTCCTACAGTAGGGCGAAACGGCTGTCCAGTATTTCCATGTTTTCCATGGTGGTCAAGCTTCAATCGACTCCTTCTTCTTTGAATTCATTCTTTTATCTCGTTTATTTACCTTCATTTAATGCATGCTGTGACATTTTTGATTCATATCATATGTAAAAATTATATGTTTTCTTAATATTCACCAACCGAAGACAATATATAGTGAATTTCTTCTCACTTACGTATACACACAATCTGTTATCTTAACACTTTTCGTTTCACACCATATGTCTCTTACACACTAATGTAAATACCTACTTTGAACACTGTTAACGTCGATTGGATTACTTATTCAGTATACAGTAAACCGGAGAACCATGTACCTATTTATATTAGATAATTTTGATGCTTGATTATATTTCCTTGAAAAAGCTTGCACTAGACTACCAGACGAAACGTTGAATTTACTTCAAATTCTTGCTCTGAGATTTTATAAATACATTCTTCCTCTTTAATGTCTCACATTAACTCGGCGCCAAATACTGTGGAACTATTTGATCAAATTTAGACGAAAGTTACTATTTATATAAAACAAGAGTATTTGAAAACCCAAAAAGCTGTCTCACCGCTCATTTGCATCCTGTTTTTCACGAGGTCCAAAGGTTGAACGCAAACAGAGGCACACATTCTGCAAATTCAAGTAGTGGAAACTGAGACTCAAACTGATACTGATGATATTCATTTTAATGATAAATAATCAAAATCTACGGTACAAGATCAAGGTTGGTACAGTAAGTCATTGTCAGCAAAGAACAAGGGTGGGTGATGGTCATATAACGCAACAACAAGCTGAGGTTGAAATTATGAGGAAGATGAAATATACTATATTTACAAGGTACATATTTGAAATTACTAAAAGAAGAACGGAACGTGAAAATAACAACTGGATGAACTATTGCAACCCAGATGTGAATGTGATTAACAAGTCGGAATCAATGCATTTTATTTATCACAGCTTACCATCTATATGCATCATAAAAACAATAGCTTAAACAATAAGTGTTGTAACTCATCCCAGTACAAGTTATAAATGAATGTTGAGTTTTAAAATATATTCTCATAAAGCCAATGAGACTAAGTTCATGCGTGTTCAAATACCATATTTTGAGTGTATTAGATACTTAAAAATTAACGATATTACTTGGTTATCAGACAGGAAGTTGCAAAACCCATTTGAACCTATGACCTTATAATCAATAATCCAGTACAAAAACTAATGATCATGAACGTGAATCCAATATGACAGAAACATTTGCAAATTAAAACACAAAAATAACAAGGCTACACATTTCAACTACTGTTTATAACTGGAGAACTATACACATTCCTAAGCTAAAGCCAATAATATATATTGAGTGAGGGAGGAATGAAACAATTATTACACCATAGTGAATGTAAATGGTTGTAAAATAGATGATAATGATCGATGACAACGTTTAACTTGGAAAATCATCATTTTCAATCAACTAGAATACCACTAATAATTTTGAATTTGGATCAAAACAAATATACGATATTCGTACTCTTGAAATACACTTATGTGGTTTTTGTATGAACTAACGATTCCTTTGTACTTGTTGAATGCTTAATTTCGAATTCCAAATACAGTACATTCTTTCGTGGTTATGTAGTACATCTTGATCAAATCGCCTTATTTCTGGGATTCATAGTTCGTACCATAATTCAAATACTCCTAATTATCACATTGGCGTCGCGATGGAGCCTGTGATAGAACGGTTAAACATACATTCAGATTTTTATGCTCTTGAAGACTACTTGGAAAGGTTTGAAATCTGAGCTATGACCGAGGAAGATGTTGAGGATGTTAATATTGTGGCACATTTCCTCACATTCATCGGAAAAAAGCTTACAGCTTACTAAAAACTCTGGCTTTACCCGAAAAGCCTATTTTTCTTCCTTATGCGACTCTCAAGGAACTACTGCTAGACTATGTTAGGTATAGAAATTTTGAATGCGGTAAAGGAGGAAGATTTCGTAAAATGATTCATATGGACATAAAAAATTCCACTACATTACTACGTCATCTCAATCCAGTGCATAGTCAAGGTAATGCAGATAATTCATTGAGTTGCGATGCAGTTCACGAAGATAGGCATAAGTTTGGTCATTGTTTGTCCTGTGGCAGGTTTCACTCATTTAATTCATGTATATTTCATAATTTTAAATGCTTTACATGTGGTGAGATTGGACACATTCAGTCAGTTTATCATATTACGGTTCATTCCGCTACAACTAATGCTTAAATTTGTAATTGTGATCCCATTAAGTTGGGTGTTTCTAACGATCATATATCTTTATCCACGACTTCGAAAAGCGGTATAGAGTCACATAGCATACCAGAGTTAAATGAAACTCAGAATCCTTGTGAAGCAACAGTTTCTAATCAATCAACTTATCAAATTTTTCATGTTATTGTACCAAATATGGTTGTTCCTAATAATTCATATGTTTCTGATGAAATTTCTTACAAACTTGAGAAAAATATGTTGAGTGAAGCTAATCATGATCAAAAACCTGATGTAGTTTTGATAGATGGTGATTTTTCTAATGATCCTTTGCTCTGCAATGACATACGTATTAAATTCGAGGAAACTATTTCAGAAGAGTCAAATCTTGATGTCATATCAAATATTACTTGTCCTCATAATGCATTTGTTTCTTGTGGGAAACTCGTTCAGTGTGAAGCACGAGTACTAAATGAGCTTGATTTTGATTACAATTCAGATGATTCCATATTAACTGTTGTTTATCCTTATCACGAAGTCACTTCTCATGTTTGCTCGTCAGTGTAAGAAATATGTTTTAAATGAAGCCACATAGTTCATAACCGACACAGTGATTGTATACAATTCCAAAAGCCAAGTAAGTCTTCCGATTTCGGCTGTTAATTCTAATACTAATGAATACATTCAAGATAGTGCGGAGTCTTTATCCAGTACACTGTCGGACAGACACAGGATCAACTTAAAAAGAAGACGTACAATCGATTACAGACAATTAGACTCCAATTTAAGCTGTGGCGGATATGGTGTTTGTATGAACTAACGATTCCTTTGTACTTGTTGAATGCTTAATTTCGAATTCCAAATACAGTACATTCGTTCGTGGTTATATAGTACTTCTTGATCCAATTGCATTATTTCTGGGATTCTTAGTTTGTACTATAATTCAAATACTTCTAATTATCACAACTTAAAACAGAATCACTTCACAAGATAAATGTGTATGACCATAACAAAAAATTGAAACCATTGCAGGTCACAACAATGAGACAGAAAATATGGAGATAAAATGTATATAGAAAATAACTTATAAGTTTGTATATGATCAAATGGTAGAGTAACATAAAAGTATTCACATTTAACATACCCAGAAGTTCCACCCAATACAAACTTCATAGTAGCAGGTATCTCGGCCTTTTTTTCGGTCTGCATTGTTGAAAAATATGACTAGGTACTTCCTTTGAATGAATATATGGATATGGAATCAGTACAATTCACCGTGAACAGCCGATACTAAAAATAAAATCACAGATGATTGAGAGAGAAAACACTGAATACAAAAGTAAAAACCTAAATAATTATCTCGCTAACTAATATCTACAACATCTGGTACAATTCGGTATCAAATATATAGTGTGAAATACGATTTAAGAGATAAGATTGTGAAGAAACATAGAACAGGAGTGAAGCCAGAAGAAAACAAGAATAACATATAATGTAAAATCGAATCTAATTAAAAACACAACCGACTTTTTATCAGAGTAGTTCCTCTGAAGCTTATGAGGAATGTAAGCGAAAAATAGAGCAGGATCACTATCGGCTCTCGATCCGAGATAAGTCTGATAACACCTAAAGCCTCTGAGTTGCATGATCTCTAGGATCCCAACCGAGAAGTCGTGACAGATCAACAGATGGCAGTATTATACAGCTTTTACTCTACAATGTCGTCATAATACATCCAAACCAGTGACAGCAGCGTTTAGGGGTGGTGGTACTAAGTAGACAATTGTCTCTTTACTGAAACTTATCATCACTAGCATTGACTTGAGAAGGAACTAAGCAAAACAACTGAATATTTTTCTCAGAATTAATCATCCACTTCACTACACAGACATGTATAAGGTTACAAAAGTATAAGTTATGGATCATGGACCTCACTATCCACAAAAAAAGCTCTATCTGATGAAAACTATTTACATATTACCGCTGATCACAATGAATCTGTAGTACAGATAGGGTAAGCTAACGATTATCATGGAGGTAAGTCTTAGGAGCTTCGGAGAAACAATAAAAGCTGAAATAAACTAGAACTGGCCAATAATGTGTAGATCTCATGCTCCGAAAACCAGTTAAATACTCCTGAGACGGTTTGTGACACAGGATGGTGCGCAATTGCGCACCACGTAATTGACTAAAAATGATGAAATGTCGCAGTAAAAACTGTACGTATGTATTTCCGCATGGCTTTTCCGTGATATTTGTAGAAATTTGTTTAAGAGTATTGCGTCAAAACGAGTTTGCAAGTACTGTAATAAAATTATGGTGGAATTTCGGGGGGAAAGCGCAAAAATCAGAGTAAATTTCGGGGAAAAACGCAAAATATCCCTGAAATTGTGAAAAGTTTTGGGGTTTTATTAATTAACATAAGCTGATTTCCCCAGTTATAAGATTCTGGGGAAATTTTGGGGTTTTAGTATTATTTCCCGAAAATTTTCCAAAATTTTACTTATTGGCTTCCCCAAAATGGGTCAAATTTTCTTCAAAACTGAAAGATTGGGTGGGGTTTCTTTACTTTAGAAAAAAAAACAGATGAAGTGATACATCAGATATTATTCAACAGTTCAATGACCAGAAAAACTCAGTCATTAACTAGGCACTGATTTTTGAGTAGATCAGTTCTAAATAAGTTTAATCAAGGGCAAGAAATTATCATTTTATAATTTTTCGCATTAAATGCAACAACCCCTTCTTTTGGCAATCTGATGACTACTAGGACTTGATGACGATTACAATCCGGTGTGGTGAATTATAATTGTGATATGCAGTTGACAGTTACGGTTAGAAGGTAGACTTAGGGTTTTAACCACAAACTGACAGCTAAAACGGATGGACGAATTCAGCGCCAAAATTCAAGGCGTATTATCGTATGTCTGATTGGTTCGTCATTAAATCGGTCTCACTGCCTCAATCAAGTTACGAAGATGATGACATCGTAATGATGCATGATATAGGAAGAATATCCAGTGTTGTTATGCCGTCGGGTCGATTCACTAGTTTGAACAATTTTAGATCTGCCCGAAAGATGTACATATGATAATAGAACTTCCGTGATTGATAATTGCCTTTTTCAAATCACCACAGCAACCTATGTAAAGTATGTGACGTCAGGCATCCATGCATGCTTCATTTCAAATGAATTTACCCTTTACTTCAAAATATTTCTTATGCAAATCCGGATTTCGGGTCCGTGAAGTAAATGGTGAGCTGAAGTCCACCTCCATTAACACGTGCACAACCATCCTTGCACAGGAAGATGTATTTCTGTAGATTCTTCGAAACGATAGCCGTCGAGAGAATGATTGCATTTTCAAGCCATTTTTTGAGTAATACGCATAGCATTCGACATCTGATTTCTTAGAAGTTCATCAAGCAGATTGCCACATATTATGTTCCCAAAACGCGGTTACATTTGTATCCAGGTTGTTAAACACGTATTCTAATTACCTGAGTTTGGACATTAAACACAACAGCGAGATTTCACAGCGCGTCCAGTCAAACATAAATGTAGAAGTTTTCGAAGAAAATCTATCCATAACTAAGATTTGCTTCAGTCACAGCGAGTAAATAGCTATCAACCATACGCTTCCAGAGGTGGTAGGTATTGACTCGACTCACCGGACCAAAAACGTTGAATAAGCGACGAATAATAACGACTTTGTCTTGAAGCTCACCACTGTCCCAGCTAATCGTTACTGGGCAAGGGCACACCGTTTTGTATACTCTTTTTAAGCAAGAACGACGTGAATACTTCGTACAGCTACGTCAATAATTCAGACATGGTGTATGGTACTTCCGATACACACACTTTAGTTATGGACTCGGCGGTAACTGAAATTTCTGCAGTATGGTCTACCCACAGTTATGCGGAAATAACATACATTTTTCAGGAATGTTAGTGTTAACCATGCAAATTTTCTTATATAGTTCACAAATGTTGATGTTCACAAATGCTTGGAACATCTTGTAAAAACCAGGCGATCTGATATGTAGGCCTTGCTCTTCATAATGAATAATACTCTGATTCACTCAAAAGTACGAGTGCCTGAGAACCCATTCGCCATGGCCGCTTGATTACATAGATC